TTGCATGCATGCAAGAATGGTGTTAACACACAAACGGGATACAGAGAAGTGATCGCAGCGTTCTGACTTCAAGACCAGAAAGAACAGAAATGTAATGATTTTCTAATCGTATTTTAGATGCGGCACAAGTCTGAAAGTATGAAGCACTCTTCCAGGATTGAATTCATTATTCAGTCATAACTGATCTAACAAGACAAGCTAAGCATTACATCACATCGAAGTAACCAAAGAACCGAAATATGACGAGTGACACCGAGAAGTGGTTTATCTCCTTGTCTAGGGTGAAATCCCAGCATGCATCTGTACAATTTGTCCATCCATTTAGGGAGGGGGTTGTTTCTACAGCCATTCCAACAAAGATTCATTAAAATATTTTGTTTATCTTTTGTTTTGTTTTAATGAATTCCCCGTCCCCTCCATCTCATTGTAAATTTTGATGTATTTATGTAAAAAAATAAAAAAATTGTACATATTCGGTATTTTTTATAATTAGTTCCCTTGCGAAAATGCAATATTTTGGTATGTGTTCGGTTTGAATGGAGAGGGATGAGTTCTTTTGGTGACAGAGGGAATGCGTCGTGAATCGGATTAGCTAGGAGTAGGACAGACAGTGTTGACCAGCCTTACTCTCTCCTTCTGCCCTTATGCCACATACTAATGTACTCATTTGTAAAATAAACATTCCTACAACGATGAGAAAAAAAAACTTAAGTAAAAGACAAGACATAGGTTTGGTTTGAACGGGAATCAAAAAGGACCCAAATAGGTAGACATATATACAGTAAACAGATTACCTTCTTTTATTAAGCAGTTGGCCCTTTGCGCAGAGATGCAATCGATCGGTGTATTCTTGACTTCAACCAGCAAGCGTAGTTGAATTAGCAATATAAGTATACATTTTGGAGTTACCTTCTTACTTTACTGCTTGAGGTACGAGATACAGGTAGCTATATATATGTGTTTATTTTATGGAAACAGGTATTTATTCAATGGTCACAATATATTATAATTGAGCTTATCTCCATCGTCATTTTGCCTAAAATCTTCAGCATACGCATCAGTATTCTTACAATTTCAAAATGGCACGTCTCTTCAGGGTGTACACAGTGTTGGTTCTCCAAAATTCCCTTTTCTTTGTTATCTATAAAAAGCTATGCATTCGTAAAATGCTTTTACGTTGCTTTCTCGGTTTTGAATCAAGGCTAGAGAGCTAAGTCTACTCAGCGATTTAACTCTTATTTGGGTGTGGGTAGAAGAAATAGATTAATGTCTCTGTCAAGAGTATTAGCATGGAAGTATATATATATATATATATATATATATATATATATATATACACTTCCATCGTCTGAAGATTTCGTTCAAGCATGAAACAGACTGTTGACGCTTGGTTTTAACCTCAGTGTCTACTTTTATATTTTTATTTACATGCGCTTTATCTCTCATACTGAGCACTTTTATCCATAAATATACCATACCATAAAAGTATATTTTAATCATATATATATATATATATATATATATATATATATATATATTATATATATATAGTTTTAGATAAATAAAAAATGCCCAAATATAAGCAGGCGTGTACGCGTGTGCATACGCAGGCAAGCAAATAAATAATGGTTAAATTTATGCATGAGCTGTAAACGTAATAGAGCGAAGATATATATATATATATATATATATATATATATATATAGCGTGTATCAGAAACACTTTTAAAAATTTTGGGGCTAAGTTCCTGACACTAAAACAAGGTAAAATATCCATATAAACATATGTGCAAAAGCCCATCGTTGTACTTCCACACAACAACACATAACAAATGTTCAAAATGTCCTTCACTTGCTTGTACACACGTATGCACCCGTCGGATCACTGACTGGCGAACCGCACGGCGTCGAATGGTTTCGCAGACCCACATGACACGTTGATGAATCGTCTCTGCATTATTACTGTCTTCTGCATAAACCAATTGTTTTAGGTGGCCCCCAAAGATAAAAATCGAAATGATTGTGTTTGGGGGAACATGCAGGTCATGAAACTGGTCCCCCTTTACCACCTGGCAAAGTGCAAGGAAGATAAGTATTTCGAGCCCCACCTTTTTATTCCTGGAAGGTTAATAACTATAACAGACACTGAACGATACAACAGGTGAAACATTGTAGCAATAATAAGCAAGATGTGGACATTAGTGTATAATCATGACAATTCCTCTTCTCAAGAATTCATACAAAAATATATATCACTGTCGTCAATTTCGGCTGAATTTGCTATCATTGTTTTCTATTTCCCATGGTCGATAGGCAGTGAAAATGACTCAAAAAGAAGGGCGATTAACGTACCGTCTTAATGTGACGGTCAGAGATTGACCTGTTCGAAATGAAAATGACCAAGATGAGGAAGTGAGAAGTAAACAATAGCAAACATTATCATGTTTATTACGCTGGAGAAGTTGTTCGATTGACATGCGACGCGCTGTTTTATAAATAGA